AGAGATATCATGCGGCATCCATCTCATACCCAAGTCCCCTCTAAATCCACCTTGTGCATTTCAAACAAATGTCATTTTGCTCAGAAAAGCACATTTATTTCTGCTTGTTAAAATAATCTAAATATGTATATATTGTATTCGCTCACCTGTTGCTCCATGTAATTACCCATACGAAAATTAACCATGGTTTTACTACAAATAAAAACAAAAAACTATGGTTATTGCAGTTAAATGCATGGTAACCACAAATTAACCATGGTTTTGCTAACCTCTATCCATAGTTTAACTATGGTATTTGTAGTGAAACTGTGGTATACAAATGGTAATCAATCCGTCAAAAAACTATATGGTTACTGGACTTTTACTCTAATAAAACCATGGTTAATTTTCATAGGGGTAACTTCCTAGTACTTATATTTTTGTATTGTTAGATAGGTATTTTTGATCTACTTTGTTCTGTTAGCAGCTTGCACATTTGTTGTTATTTTTTTGTTAACTATATTTCAATCTGCTTTGCTTGGTTATCAGGCCATATAGCACACGTACGTCTGCAAGGTGTCTGCTAAAGTTCGCTTCATCTGGAAAGCATCTGCTGTGCAAAAACATCTGATAGACGTCTTTAAGATCTCATTTTTACATACATTCTAAATCATAAACATCTATTTGACATCTGATAGGAAATGTCCTATAGACATATTGCAGATGAGCAAACACTCGGGAAGCTTAGCACTTCTATTCTGGATTTCATATATTAACAGTTTTACTCAATGTTTTCAGTCTACTAGTTATTTGCTAATAGTTAATTTCATATGTTAGTGTATTTTGATCTACTCTGCTCTGTTAGAAGGTTGCTAGCACATCTATTCTTGATGTCAAATTTAGATATTACTTATCAGCTTGCTAGCACTCATTGTTGATTTCATTTATTAGCTATGTATCTTTCAATCAGATTTTCTGTTAGCAACTTGCTAGCACTTCTATAGTTATAGTTAGCTAAGTAGACCTCTTTTGCTCTGTCAGCAGTTTGCTATAGCACTTCTGTTGTTTATTTCATGTTAGCGAACTATTTTTCAATCTTGCTCTGCTCTTTTTGCAGATTGCTAGCATATCTGTTGTTGATTTTATGTTATGTATCTAAATTTCTGCTTTGCTTGGTTATTAGCTTGTTAGCACATCCTTCTTGACTTCATATTGCAGTGTATTACTTGATCATTTCTACCCTGTTAGCAGCTTGCTAGCACTCACTGTTAATTTTATACATTGGCTATGTATTTTTTAAACTGACTTCCACCCTTATAAAAATTAACAATGGTTTTATTGTAGTTAAAGTGTAGTAACCATGTTTTTTGGCGTATTAATTACCATTTGTATAACCACAGTTTTACTGCCATGGTTAAACTATGGTTGGTTAGTGTAGCAAAACCATGGTTAATTTGTGTTTGCCATAGTAATCATGTTTTTTGGTTTTATTTGTAGTAAAACCATGGCTAATTTTCATTAAGGGTATAGCTGATTGCATATGTTAGCTATTAATGTATGTATTTAATATAAGTATCCATGCTGGAAAAAAAAAACACACCTAAAACCAGCTGGTCTTAGCTGATTTTAGCTGGTCTCTCAGCCTGGCCAAGCTGGTTTTAGCTGGTCAGTCAGCTGGTCTCCTAGTCTTACCAGCTAAAGAAGTGGTCAAAAACCCTCTGAAACCAGCCTGCTATATTCTAGGTATTTTTTGATATTCATTTTTTTATTTGCACCATTGAGATCTCATTGTGAATGGGGCTACCCAGACAGAACAAATAGATGCTAACCTGCCAATGAAATGTCCTGTTGCTCATTGTTTCTGGAAGAAATAGTTTTGCGTCAGAAAAATACCTGATAGGTAGGGTTGCCAACAAAATACGGGACAATCACCTTAAGTGGGGGCTGGGGTGCGTGACCGTGTATACACACACACACACACACACCTTCATTATATATATATATATATATATATATATATATATATACATATATACGTATTTTTCAATTAAAGACAGCCTATAGATTTAATATGGGCTGCTTTTGGTGCTTGACACCTTTTTATTGGTAATTTTGTGTTTCAAGAATAAGGTCCAAGGTTAAGAATTATGCTATTAGTTACTTAAATATAAAATGTTTTTCTCTATTTCTCTATCAGTGGTTAGACGGGACAAGGGAAGTCACGTACGGGACAAATCAATTACACTCTTAAAAATAAAGGTGCTTCACGATGCCATAGAAGAACATTTTTGTCTAAATGGTTCCATAAAGAACCTTTAACATCTGAAGAACCTTTCTGTTTCACAAAAGGTTCTTTGTGGCGAAAGAAGGTTCTTCAGATTATAAAAAGGGAAGAAAGAGATGGATCTTTAAAGAACCTTTGACTGAATGGTTCTTTGTGGTACCAAAAATGGTTCTTCTATGGCATCGCTTGAAGAACCTTTTGAAGCACCTTTATTTTTAAGATAGGCCCAAAATACGGGACGTCCCGTCTAATACTGGACGGTTGGCAACCCTACTGATAGGACACATTTTATAAGTTCCCTGGGAATCAAAACCATGACCTTGGTGTTGCTAGCACCATGCTCTACCTAGTGAGCTAACTTATAACGCATTACACTAAAACAATGTTTAAATTAAAATAAAGCCTTGGGAATCATATCAGCTTAGACATGAGGCTGTCAGGCTTGTTCACAGACTGAATCATTTACCTTAATTACTCAGGCCAGGAAAACAAAATTGAGTTGTCATGTCTGTCAGTGCAACCACTGTTTCATTGTGGATATCAACTAAATGTTTGCCTTCTCAATAAATAGGCCTACAAATGCAGTATTTATAGTACAAACTAAATGGACAGAAAATCTATTCCAGAGATGTGACGACTTTCCAAACATAAACCCTTCAGCCAAACTTTCACATAGCAACAAGTAATCTGCAGAGCTGAATGCCAAACGACAGATTGCTTTGACTTGGCAGTAGAGGGTTGATAGTGTAAGATTCAGATCTTCCATTTATAGAAAGAAAACCTGCATGCGATAATTCAGTCTTGAGGAAGCGATAAAAAAACACCTGTGTGCAGGGTCTATTTTGGGATTGGAGCAGTCAAGGTCATCCAAGCGGAAACAAATTGTGTAGGAGGCACGGCTAACAAAGGGAATATGTTAGTGCTTTCCGCAGAGCTCGGCACACAGACAGGTGGATCTAAGAAAGAGACCTGCTGAGAGGCTGATGGGAAGAGAGCTAAAAGGCGGGAAAGAAGTCTATCAGTAACTGAAGAGGAGCCATTATACAATCTGGGCACAAAGAGTCAAAACAAGAAGGTTTATGAGGGGAAGATGAGGCAATACACTGTGAAGAGGTTAGACCAGGGGTGTCAAACTCAGTTCCTGGAGGGCCACATCCCTACATAGTTTAGTCCCAACCCTGCTCCAACACACATACAACGTAGTTTTCAAATAAGCCTCAATGTCTTGATTAGCTGGATCAGTTGTGTTTAATTAGGGTTGCATCTAAACTGTGCAGGGCTGTGGCCCTCCAGGAACTGAGTTTGACACCCCTGGGTTAGACTGTTTTGGCAGTCCTGTGATAGCAAACAGTGGTTAAAGACGTCAAAGACATCTTACTAAGAAAACAATAAAATAGAGAAGTAAAATACAAATCCTTTATTCAGTTTTTTTTTTTTTTTTTTAACTCTGAGCAATAACAGGCACAACTAATGCAGGGCTACAGACAAAATAAAAATGTCTAAGGAGCCACTGGCTTCTACAATTAAGTTTTAATTACAGAATCAATCTCTCTCTCTCTATATATATATATATATATATATATATACAGTATAGGCTATATTCTGAACGATTCACTGAGTGAGTCTGATTCAAATAGTAATCTCATGAGTGGGTTTGAAGCTGCTTTGTAAATCTTTTTGCTAAAACGACTCACTAAAAAGATCAGGTTCATAAGAGTCACTTCTTTGCAAATCAAACTTGCTCTGTGTTTACCATTTTTTTCTGCAGAAAAAAACTGGATAGCACACTGATGATACTGCATTTGGATGCATATTTTCCCACCTGCCTATATTTTAAATTGTTGTTGCAATTTTGTAATTTTTGGTCGCATTTGTATGGAAGCTTGTTTATCTCTTGTTGAGTTTATGTTAAGTTTTACCTCAAACAATTCAGGATTTCGGACTTCTCAGAATTGTGAGATGAAAAGTCGCAATTACCTTTTTTATTTTGTGGTGGTAACAAAAAATAAAACACTAAAATGTAACAAAAATGCAAACTCATAATTCTGAGGGAAAAAAGTCAGAATTAGCTAGATATAAACTCAGAATTCCAAGTAAACTCTGAAATATGAGAAGGTAAGTCCGAAGTTTATATCTTGCAATTCTGACTTTTTTCTTAGAGATGTGACTTTATAATTGCGAGAAAAAATGTCAGAATTGTGTGCTAAAAAGTAACAATTACATTTTTTTTTTTTTTTTTTCTAATGACAGAAACTGGCTTCCATATATTTAATCGTTTTAGTTGTAGTTTTATCTACATATAATTGAATATTTAAGAAAATGCCATGCTAGCCTTTTCACAGGAATAAGATGCAGCTTGTCAAAGACAGATTCTACAAGACTCAATCACCAGATCTCATCACCTCATCCTCCAGTCTCTCATCTCCAGTGCTCTCATGTGACCTTGCCCGCCTCCGCCCTCTTCATCCCACTGCTGCCTTTTTGCAGGCCTGTGTGGCCCCATCACTCTTAGTGTTGGTCTCTCTGCCAAACGCCAGGGCTAAAAATATCTGTGCCAACAAGGCAGAGTGGGTTCAGCCCTCTAACAGGAATAGCAGAGTAGCAGTCAACTGCTGTCTGACAGAGTCACTGGAATTGTCAGTTTGCTAGAAGCACAATGCCCTCTCTTTCATTTTCTCCCTCTCTGTTTTCCTTCCATAGGTTGGACAACATCTCCGTTCCCTTGGATCAGCCCTCTAACAGGAATAGCAGAGTAGCAGTCAACTGCTGTCTGACAGAGTCGCTGGAATTGTCAGTTTGCGAGCAGCACGATGCCCTCTCTTTCTCTTTCATTTTCTCCCTCTCTGTTGTCCTTCTATAGGTTGGACAACATCTCCGTCCCCTCTGATTCATGACATGTTTCAGACCAGACTGCTGCAGAGAGGGGGAGTTGTTTAGACAGAGGAACATGCAAATAAATACGCCATGCAGTTAATTTCCTGCAATTTCAATGGTGTCAAAATATGAGCACATACCAAGCACTTAATACCACCCACAAACGCTACATTAATCACACCATGGACCTTAATCAGGGCTAATCTGACTGATTAGTTCATTAGGTTGTACTGTTAAGTACCTTGGTGAAACATTCAGCCAACAAAACACTGAAAATAAGGTTTTCCAAAAAAAAAAAAAAAAAAACGAAAGTTATCAGTTGTGGAAATTAAGATGGGACTTCATTAACAATGAATTTGTGCATGCAGTTCATTCACAAACGTTGTATGCGTTATTTTAGGAATAGTTCACCTAAAAATGAAAATTTCCTGATATACAGTGGGTACGGAAAGTATTCAGACCCCCTTAAATTTTTCACTCTTTGTTATATTGCAGCCATTTGCTAAAATCATTTAAGTTAATTTTTTTTCATCATTAATGCACACACAGCACCCCATATTGACAGAAAAACACAGAATCGTTGACATTTTTGCAGATTTATTAAAAAATAAAAACTGAAATATCACATGGTCCTAAGTATTACTTAAATGATTTTAGCAAATGGCTGCAATATAACAAAGATTGAAAAATTTAAGGGAGTCTGAATACTTTCCGTACCCACTGTATATATACTCACCCCCAGGCAATCTAAGATGTATATGACATACATTCTTCAGCCAAAGAGAAATTAAGATGGAGCAAAACATTCCAATATTTTTCTCCAATGCAAGTGAATGGTGCTCAGCATGGACCATTTTTGACAGTCCAAAATTCATATTTAGGCAGCTTCAAAGTAATCCAAACAACCCCAGCTGACAAATAAGGGTCTTCTCTAGTCAAAAGATCAGTAATTTTCAGAATAAGATAAAAAATGATATACTTACAAATGTTAGAGAAGACCCTTATTTACCAGCTGGGGTTGTGTGGATTACTTTGAAGGTGCCTAAATATAGATTTTGAACCATCAAAAATGGTCCACGCTGAGTCCCGTTTACTTGCATTAGATGGAGAAAAATCCTGGAATGTTTTCCTCCAAAATCTTATTTTCTCTTTGGCTGAAAAATGTCATATATTGTACAACTTGGATGGCCTGTTGTACAATATATTGTACAACTTGAATATTCCTTTAACTAAAAGAATTATGCAATCGTGTAATAGCAAAAAACTATTAAATGCATCTACAATGACCCTAATTTAGATAAAAAGGTGGCGTGTTTGCACTGAAAAGAATGTCAATGTCTTAAATACAACGCAGCACTATTACAGCATTTAGCGCCTTGCTAAACTGTATTTTTGTTTGTGCATTGCATTTTTGCCCCTAAGGTTGTACAACTTATTGAATGGACAGCCTTATTTTCATTCACATTCATTTACATTTGGCATCCACATTAAGCGTCAATGTATGATTATTTTAAACGTTATGAATAGTACATTAAATCTGACTTATGTAGATAAGAAATGCATGTGTCTCTTTTTCTTCTCAGCTTTGTGACATTGCAAGTCTGAGTCACTCTCTATTCTACTGTGGTCATGGGAAATATTGAAATACTGTTCAAGCAGTTAGAAAGTTAACTATTGCCACCTAGTGGTGAGATACAGAAAGACACTAGTAGCCAATTTCAAGCTTATAAATAATTAATCTGATTGCATAAATGTGCATTGCACATTGCATAAAATCACAACGCAGCTGCTGGAATAGATAAAGATATGTGATGTGTGTAAATGCTTCAGTTTTGGGTTACACTTTACTTGAAGGGGTGTGCATAAGACTGACATGACACCTTCATAATCATGACATGACACATGTCATGAATATGAAGGAGGTTTTATGCATGTTTATGACAACTGTCATTAAGTGTCATTCGCTCAGTTATGTAATTTTTAATGCAAAGATGACATTGTTTGAGATGTCTTTGTTATGGGCTATGGTTAGGGGTAAGGGTAGGGGTAGGGTTAGGTTAGGGTTAGGTCAAATAATGTCATATTTGCATTAAAAATGACATAGCTGAGCGAATGACACTTAATGACAGTTGTCATAAACATGCATAAAACCTCCTTCATATTCATGACATGTGTCATGTCATGATTATGAAGGTGTCATGTCAGTCTTATGCACACCCCTTCAAGTAAAGTGTTACCCAGTTTTGCTTTGATCAAGCTTAAAAAATGCTAAACAGTCTGATGTCAGCCTTCAAAGTACAACACAACTGTTTCACTAATATTTTTCATTTCATAAGACAGTGGCAGTGAAACCACAAATGGGCGGGGATAATGTCGAACCACATGGGGGCGCTGCGATTGTTGTTGTGCATCAAACAGGCCTCCAGATACAAATTCAATGGAGTGCTTATGTAACGTCAGTGAATGAGAATTTGATTCCTTTTGTTTTGGCTTCTGGTGTGTTAACACTTCCTACACACAACAAACACACCTCGAGTCTGCGGTTTCCGTGCCTGTGTAACAGATCTCCGCTCAAAAGCTCTATGACCAACTACATTTAATTGAGTTTTATTAAATGGTCAAACAGCAGGAACCGTGGGGATTATGGTTAATGCATGTTGAGAGCCTTTGTGTTAGCACTGTCAGGAATATTTATTTATGTGTAATTGTAGCTCCCTTCTTGCGCATTTCAAATAGACCTCATGCCAGCTAAGGAATTATTCACAATAAAGCATTTAATGCAGAATAAACTGTCTTAAGCATGTGTTTGCAAACAACAAATACTGACTCACACTTTATTTTATATGTCACACCAAGAATAATGAAAAGCTAATATTATTAGCTGCTTTGTAACATTGAACAGGTTTTTTTTTGTTTCTAATTATTATTTTTCTAATTATTTTAACAGATCTGCCGTCGTGCAAAGTGCATTTTTCATAAAGATAAAACATTATAAAGCAAACATGTATATCCTTTTAGTCAGAAACATGAAATACATTCAAAACCTGTCGAACTGCAAGCAAATGTATGTGTTTTAGCTGCCAATACCTGACACAGCATGGTGTTATTCTGCGTTTGAGGATAAACTCCTAGATCTCGTTCTCCAGAGAAGGCTTCCCTGAAGTAGAGCGAGAAATCAATCACTTCAATCGTTAGTCTGGCTCATGTGGGCAAATTATATAAACATTAATTGGATATGACAGAGAGAGATTGCTTTTTTAGCTGTTTGCATTAACTATTGTTTTGTTGTAGCCTAGTTGGTCAAGAAAATCAGCCATTGTTGTGTGTTCTTACTGTAAATAGCTGTGCATAAGGAAAAAAAAGAGAAAATTAAATTGCAATATAATATAATAATAAGCCCTTATTTCTGTTGGGATTGATTTAGTTTTGTTGTAGCCTAGTTGGTCAAGAAAATCAGCCATTGTTGTGTGTTCTTACTGTAAATAGCTGTGCATAAGGAAAAAAAAAGAGAAAATTAAATTGCAATATAATATAATATAATAATAAGCCCTTATTTCTGTTGGGATTGATTTAGTGTTTTAATATTTGGGTCCCAGAGACTGCAATGATGTTAATGTGAAAAATAAAAAAACTAGTTATTGTAAAATTAAATCTCAAATTTTTATTTTAAATTATCATAATAACATCCTCTGACCTAATCAAAACCAAACAGGCAGATCTGATCAAAAATATCCCTGTTTTACAGCTAACTAATCACGCAGTTTTTAATAACATGTGGGCAAATTATATAAACATTAATTGGATATGACAGAGAGAGATTGCTTTTTTAGCTGTTTGCATTAACTATTGTTTTGTTGTAGCCTAGTTGGTCAAGAAAATCAGCCATTGTTGTGTGTTCTTACTGTAAATAGCTGTGCATAAGGAAAAAAAAAGAGAAAATTAAATTGCAATATAATATAATATAATAATAAGCCCTTATTTCTGTTGGGATTGATTTAGTGTTTTAATATTTGGGTCCCAGAGACTGCAATGATGTTAATGTGAAAAATAAAAAAACTAGTTATTGTAAAATTAAATCTCAAATTTTTATTTTAAATTATCATAACATCCTCTGACCTAATCAAAACCAAACAGGCAGATCTGATCAAAACCCTGTTTTACAGCTAACTAATCACGCAGTTTTTAATAACATTCTTTTTGGAGTCAGCCTGATCCCAGCAAAAAAACATGACATGTAAGTCTCCACAGACAAAAAACGAGGGATTGTATAACATGCCAATATTAAGTGTTTTTGACCATCCATTAAAGAGCACCTATTGTGATCAGTACTGCCCTCCTCTGGCCTTAAAGGAGAAAAGCATTGCAATTAAATATGTACGAGTGCTTTTGACTGACATAAATAAAGTGACTGACTGGCATATAAAGTGACAGAACCTTCATGAATCCTTCTCAGATGTTCTGAAAAATAACAACATTTGTTATTTTACTTCCTCGGTGCTTTTAAATATAACCAGCGTGCCTTTAATATGAAGATACGCACATGCGCACTCGCCACATGGTGGCAGCACTGCACTAGTCATACCGACTGAACGTTTTCCACCCTTCTTTCCGGTACAGGGGCTCACCGGGGTAAAACCCACCTGACTCAATGCCTATTAATACAGACAACGCTTCACTTTCATCCATAATGTGAATATGCCATCCCAGGGAGCAAAACGATACCCCCGACCGCAACCTGTCAATACGAATCTCTATGTGCCTATTGTACCGCCTGGCACTCGTTGTGTTCTCCCCGTCCCCCGCGGCTAGGGACAGGTCACATAAAGATTAGTCGGGTCTCCTCTCATCAGTAGGGGTCCCATCAGGAGAAATAAGCTTCTTCCAGGGAGGTGACTATAATAAACAGGTGCCTCCTTTCATTTTGTGTGCTGACACACGGTGGTATAATTTCGCCTCTGGATCTTTCGGGCTCATATTGTTTTGCCTGTTCTCTTTTCGCGCTTACTTTTATGTTTTGTTGTTTTTTCGCGCGCGCTTGATTTTATTTTTTACTTTTTTTTTTTTTTTTTGCAAATATTAATAGATCTTACTCATTTTTTCTCCCCCTCTGTTTCTGTCAGATATGTCTGCTGTGATAATTGGGCTCAATCAGAGATTATTCATGGCGCTCTCAGAGTCAGACATGACCGAGCAGCTTTGTTTGCCTCGTGCCTCTCTGACAGAATCAGCCCACACGTTCGCCTTCGAACATGCCTCTACCTCACAATGTGTACCGCACTCATCCTTTCTGTGGCGCTTGCATGTCCTTAATTACGACCAATTAACGCGTGGACGCAAACATCCTACTTCAAAATGGGCATACCCTGGAAAATAACATGACAAACTGTCAGATATGTCTGCTGTGATAATTGGGCTCAATCAGAGATTATTCATGGCGCTCTCAGAGTCAGACATGACCGAGCAGCTTTGTTTGCCTCGTGCCTCTCTGACAGAATCAGCCCACACGTTCGCCTTCGAACATGCCTCTACCTCACAATGCGTACCGCTCTCATCCTTTCTGTGGCGCTTGCATGTCCTTAATTACGACCAATTAACGCGTGGACGCAAACGCGGTAAAACATCCTACTTCAAAATGGACATACCCTGGAAAATAACATGACAAAACCACACACAAAAAAGGCACGGCATCGTGCAGCAAAATAACCCCACTGAATGTTATAGTATTTATCAAAGAAAGCAATTCACTGATATTTGTGAGTTCTCTGAGTACATCTTCTTGAAAATAATTACAGCGGTAATGACTTTTTCCCGGTAATGCTGGGAGAGAAGGGAACAGACGCCGGAGACATGTAGGCCGATAAAATATCCGCAGCCAGGCCTCCCGGTGCGCTCCCCTCTGCAGCCGCGCTACGGTCCTATATCTACACGGCTGATAAACCATTAGCCAGAGCCGTGACTCACTCGTTTATCGTAGTGAAGAGCGCTAGCGGCCAGCCTGGCCCAATACTCCCAATTGTTCCCCTAATATCTGTCTAATGGCCTCCATTTAATCTAGGGAGAATGATTATTACGTATACGTCCCCCCTCCCTTTTCCCCTGGCCGAACACGCAGACACACAAAGCCGCAGTCCTTGCAGGTGAATACATCTCAGTCATCAGTGTAAAGTAAAACATAATTAGTGCATTTTCCTCCAGTGCATGAGTATGCTAATGAGGTCGCTTCACTGCGTAATTTTAGATTATGTTCCGATAGCTACATGCAGCAAGGGTGTTTGGAGGTTTGTCTCGGCCGGGTGTTGTGCGATCGTTCTCTGTGGTTTTCTCCAGGTCCATTGAATGGAATTTTATGGTTTTACTGATCAGTTGAATGCAGATTATTAAGCAACTTTTAATTAGACAAAAATTTGGTAGCTTTTATGGTTCTTATCCAAAAATAAATCCTAGGCCTACTGGTCTCCCTGCCTGGCCAAGATAGTTAGGCTAAACTGTTTCTATGGTTCAAGATGGGGTTTGTTCAGCTAGAAAAATAGCAAAAAACTAGCTTGGTTGGAATGGGAGACAGGTTAAACCATCTTGAACCAGCTAAAACCTGAATAGTTTTTTTTTTAAGCATGGACCATAACAACTCTTACTTCCACCTTATTTTTTCTCTCCTATTCTGTCATTTCTATTCTTTCCCCCCTTGCAACATGCTGTCTGTCGTCCTTTTCTTTTTCCTTCCTTCCCCTTCCAGCATTATTGGTCTTCCTTGTTTACCTTCCTTTCTTCAAGCATTATTTGTTTCCTCTACTTGTTTCCTTCCCTCCTTCCTTCAAACTTTGTTTTTGTCTTCCTAATTTTTCTTCCCTCCTTCTTTCAAACTTTGTTTTCGTCTTCCTAATTTTTCTTCCCTCCTCTTTGCCTTCCTTCATTTTTCTTTCCTTCCTACTTTATCAGTCCTTCTTTCCTTAGCCTATTTCATTTCATTGTGCTTCCCACCCTTTGCAACTTATTTTTCTTCTTATTGTTTTCTTTCTTTCCTCCTTCTGGCCTTCCTTCCTTTTTCTTTACTTGTTGTGTTCCCTCCTTCCTATTGTCTTTTCCTTCTTTCCACTGCAATTTTTTTGTCTTTCTTTCCTTCTTCTTGCCTTCCTTAGTCTTTTCTTCCTACTTTTTTCCTTCCTTGTGCAACTTTGTCTTCTTACTGTCTTTCTTTCCTTCTTGCCTTCCTTCCTTTTCTTTCATCTCTTCTTCCTTATTTTTTGCTTCCGTTTTGTTTTCCATCATTCCTTCTTTTTCGTCTTCCTACTTTGCCTTCCTTTCCTCCCTCCTCCTTTGTTTCCCTTATTTTTTCCTTCCCTGTGCGATTTTGTCCTCTTACTGTCTTTCATTCCTTGTTGCCTTAATTCCTTTTCTTTCCTTCCGCTGTCCTTCTTTTTGCTTTCCTTCTTTCATTCCTACTTTTTTGCCTTCCTACTTTAATATTTACTCCTTCAAACCATACTTTTTTCCTTCCTCTTTACTGATTTTTGTTTTCCTTCCTTCCTACGGTTTTTCTTTCTTCTGTCATGCAACCTTGTCTTTCTACTGTCTTTTTTCCCTCATTCTTGCCTTCCTTTCTCTTTTCTTCTGTTTTTCTACCTTCCCCCATGCGTGCAACCTTCTTTGTCTTTCTGTCTTCATTCTTGCCTTCCTTACCTCATACTTTTGTCTGTCTTTCTTCAGTTTTGCATGCATCTTTCTGACACCAAATTCAGGTGAGGCGCCTGAGAAGGAAATTGAGTCAGTCCCACACTCACTAGAACAGCCATGGGGCTCGGTGGACATGCACTAGCGTGCAGACCTTCAGTCACAATTCACAGCCGGGTTAGAGATCCCGTACAGCTTGACAAAATCCGAGGAACAGCAAACCCTAGTCAAATATATTTTGTTAATATTTAGGCTTGTTCCACTTTTTTTTCACCTCAACAAAAGTTTCATTTTATTGAGTATCTTTGAAGAGGTGCTCATAGAAAATGAACTGCAACTCTCAATCAATATTGGTCATATGAAGGGAAAGTCTACCATGGATGATATTAAATGTTGACAGTGTTCAAGACATGAGGTACAAATATTGTGCCAGCATTTGGGGATAAAAAAAAAACAGCCAAAATATGATGCAGGGATGGAATTCATTGTCCTCTTGGTTTAAGATACTGTTTGAAGTGGGTAAATAAAACTCACAAGAGAAACACAGACAGCTTTGTACTACAGAAGTACCTGTGTATGCTTCAAAACTAGCAAAATTCTCACAGCAAAAATTAATATTTTTAAGACAGAGTATGTGAGCAAAGTTGGGTGATTGGAAATTCCTGTCATTCTGCTCCATTCACATTCTTTATTATTTCTACTTGATCAAACACAGAGTGACATATAACTGTAATATAACGAGCCCGGTCTCATGAAAATGTGTATGAATAGTATGCCAAAGAAAAACGAAAACTCGTGGTATTGATACGCAAAAATGGACTTTGGCGTGCATATGATGCGCATGTGTTTGGCGTGCATATAATATGCAGTTTTCACATACATATGATACGCATCTACCCCACAACCCTAAACCTACCCATCGCGTGGCATATACACGCAAAGTCCATTTTTGCGTATCAGTACTACGAGTTTTCGTTTTTATTTGGCGTACTATTTATACGCACTTTCATGAGATCAGGTTGAATATAACATAGCAACGAAGCCCATGCAGATGAATGAGTAAAAATATATCAAACTAAACATCACATTATTGCATCATGACCCAAATTTTGCTATAATACCTTGCCTAATGTGTATATATGACAGTTCAGTTGAAGCTTTATTTATCTGGAAAACAAAACAAGAATTGAGCCAGTGTTTTGCAGATCCAGAACTACTTTTACAGGCATGTTGACTTAGCTTGACTCGTGTTGTTTATTTGTTTAGTTAGCTGTTCATCTATAAAAATGGAAGCACACAGCAGAAGCTGTCCGTGCTATTATCCCACTTAACCATGTTTCCAGCATTTCAAAAAAAGAATATCATCCAATTCATATGGGCTCAGCTTTATTTATCTGGAAAACAAAACAAGAATTGAGCCAGTGTTTTGCAGATCCAGAACTACTTTTACAGGCATGTTGACTTAGCTTGACTCCAGTGTTGTTTATTTGTTTAGTTAGCTGTTCATCTATAAAAATGGAAGCACACAGCAGAAGCTGTCTGTGCTATTATCCCACTTAACCATGTTTCCAGCATTTCAAAAAAATAATATCATCCAATTCATATGGGCTCATTAGCTCCAACTATGAACTTATGTGTGTTTTCAAAGCAGGAACAATGAAGCTAACACTTTTATAAGTGCTCTTCACTCTGCATACTCTAACAGAGAACTATCAAATTAACTTGATTTCTTGGAGCGCAGGTCTCGGTTAACGTACCTGACACATGTCGTGGTGCGTTATTGGTGCAGTTACCTTTCAGACATGTGCTGTGGAGTGAACAGGGAAAGGTTAGGAGGTTTCATTCACCAGTTAAAAATAGTGGAGCCTCAGTAATGGGGGAATGATCATTTCCACCGTGCTGCAAGGTCTTCGATGGCTGCTGACAGCATTAAGAGCATAGCAAGGATGTGGGGTACTTCAGAAGAAGCTAATCAGGCACAATACATCCCAGTGAAAAGGTTTTGGGTTTTGATAAAGGCTGCAAATTGAAATGGAGAGCAGGAGAACCTATTTAGAAACATATCTAAACGTGTATATATATATATATATATATATATATATATACAGCGACCAACGCACGTTTTGTTAAGAGGTTGGCGAAGGTCCTATTAAGCTAAAGCAAATGTTCATTAGTCAAAAAGATGGATAGTAATGGCATACATAAAACATCTGCAAGAACAAAGCATTTGTATGAATTTGTTTTCACAAATCAAGTATGAATGACCTACTGAACATTCTTTTATATAAGCATGATGGACCCAGTTTTAGCCATAACAATCAAAGTTTAAGGGAGGCATACATCAACGTGTTATTGACGTATTAATGTTTTAAATTGTCTGCTATACATTCATTGTGAGTTGATGCTGAATGCAAATGTTTCTGGTTTGGACCAGAAGAATATGGGTGAGAAACAGCTAGTTTTAATGTATGCATCTCAATATGACGCTGTATAAATTACATACATGAATTCACACTCAAGAGAGAACAGTGACACAATCTCCTTACACACGTGGTCCGTTTTTAAACTCAGAGTCCATTAAATGATCTCTGGAGAAGGATTTACCTTTTTTCCCTAAGCTGCTGATTCTCAGAAATGTTAAATAAACATGCAGTGGTAAATGTTTATAGCATGCTATTTATACTGAACAGTCCAATTAAATTAAGAAATTTGGGCAAATTTTCAAATAGTGTTATATAAGGTACACAACTGAGGGTTTCTTTTAGTCAGAAATAAATTGTTGAACCAATACAAAAAAAAAAAAAAAAAAATCAGTTCAAACCCTTGTTTTTGCCTTACTGCATTACTACGGTAAGCCTAATGGTTTAATTGGTTTGTTGTGATGGGACAAAGAGAAAAAGAGAGGGATGATAGAGAGAATCCTGCAGTGCACCCTTAAACACAACGTATTAAATTTTTTCTTGTTTAAAAGCAGTTCACTCAAAGAAATAAAAAAATGTAAAAAAAAAAAAAAGTCAAAATGGGCATTTACTCATCTTGTTGTTTCAAGAGAAATGCTAGTTTTGATGTATGCATCTCAATATGACTCTGTATAAATTACTTGTATGTGACACATACATAAATTCACACTCAAGAGAGAACAGTGACACAACCTCCTTACGCACATGGGCCGTTTTTAAACTCAGTGCCCACTAAATGATCTCTGGAGAAGGATTTAGCCTTTTTTTCCTAAGCTGCGGTTTCTCAGAAATGTTTTCAAGTTAACTAAATGTGCAGTGGTAAATGTTTATAGCATGCTATTTATACTGAACAGTCCAATTAAATGAAGAAATTTGGGCAAATTTTCAAATAGTGTTATATAAGGTACACAACTGAGGGTTTCTTTTAGTCAGAAATGAATTGTTTTGTGCCTTATTTACCCTTAAAGGGTGCATATTAGTACTTTTTTTATTTAATTCTTTATATAACAGGGACAATGGACAGTTAAGGACTGCCATTAGCTATAAGAATTAGCTATAAGCTAAATTTATAAGATAATTTCATCTGCTGTCCCTGGGCAGAAGAATACCAAAACACTTTACAAACAAAAACATCAATGTAATAGCATGTACAATAAAATCCCTCAAAAAAGATAAGAAATATAATCCCTCACATAGACTACAAAACATCATCCTTTGATAAAAAAATTTTTTATAAAAAATTAGGAACTCCAA